AACAACCATCCGATTGCTTCTCGCCATCCCATCCCGACGACACTTGCCGTGGGTTTCGCGGGCTTCCTTCTGGTGTGGTGCAGATTGACGGGTTTTGTGAGTTACGTCCTAATCAACCCCTCCTCGTGAGTTTGAGTTGCAGGACTCTAACCGTGGTCAAGCTTGTATGGAGAGCATGAATCTGTGTTTTCGCATCGCCATCTCGTGGTATTGTTTTCCTGATCTGCGTAAGGTGGATAGGCGGTTGTTTTTTTTGGGCTGGTTCTGACTCACAGGATTCCAATAGCATGTTTGTAACATTTCAAGATTGATTTGAGAAACTGTCACTCTGAACTAACGCAGAGATTGGGTTCGCTTCGGAAAAGTTGACCAACTGGTGATTTCGGTTAAAAGCACACTGCCGCATCTTTTATCATCAACGAATTCCCAGATTCAGCTTCATCAACCTCTGTCCCACACACGAACAGTTTCGCCCTGATTCTCATTTACTGAATGGCATTACAAACTGTCCTTACCCAAAAAACATGTCTGACCCATTTTTATCGGAACGAAATAAATCCGTGTAATTCAACTAAAAACTTGCTGTTTGCCACGACCACTGAACGACATTAGGCCGATCAGTCCATGCCATCAAACGTACCGTTATTCATCGGTATGCTGTTAAGTGACCAGAATAAGGACCTGGCAGAATGCGAACAAACGTCCTCTGAGAAGGAAGGCACATCACTCACAACTGATACGAGAAAAAGGAATGAATTAGCAAAGAGACCGAAAGCATCAACATACCGGGCCAACCACAAAATGGCCAAATATACTGAACCGGGGTCCGTGGTAGTCCCGTTCGCTTGGTCTCTACGAACCAGGGAGCCGATGGTAACCTGTTCAGCGCGCTTGGCAACAATATTATCATTCACAGACGGGACGGATGATTTATCGAGTTGGCCAGTCTCTGCACCACTCTGCTGATCAGCGTACATGTATGCCGCCAATTCCAAACGGTCAACGTTATTCTGTAAATCAGTTCGCACCTGTTGCAGTGCAGTGAAACCAGACGCGTTGCCACCGGAACCCGCCTCAACCGAATCACCGGTTATATTCGATTCCGGGACTGGACACACAAAACGATCCAGGAGACGAAATAAAGAACGGCAGGCTCTTGTGAAATCCAACGCGGACAGGTAATCGCCCGGTAGTTTGGAATCATCTGCTGTATTCTCTCCTTCGGGAATTTTTGGGCGGAGATCTTCAAAACTGAAATCGGTAGGACCCCGGATAGGGTGAGATCAACATATAAACCGTATCCCCATCCCCTGTTAGTATTATTATTATTATTATTATTGTGGCGTTGGCATCATGCTTGCCCACAAACTGGTGAAATATATATATATCAGCCAATTTTCTATATAATGGGATTATTCTATTTGTCAATAGGTGAACCGTATCCGAAACCGATGTCACCCGGCTGAGAAGCAGATGGATCGGTTTATCCAGAATCGACTAAAAGCTTCAAATATTGAGTACTCAGTTCCATCAACGTCACAAACGATTCCAGTAGACGGTAAAACCAGAAAGGTCCACGAAAACTATTGAATGAAACAATTTCTCATCGCTACAAACGTACGGCGTGGAAAACAAACTACTACTACTACTGTAGGGGAATAGCAAATTTACGAACGTAGGTTGTGAATAGTGATGTGTAAGGTATCGTACATCCCTTCATTACCGAAATCACCGAATGACTAATGCGTTTCAGACTCGGTTGGCGGTTGTGACAAGAAGATATACGTAAACTGACAGTGGGAAATCACAGATGACTAATGGAGTATTTGCAATTGGTTAGTCTACAAAGCAGCCAACACGTAGTAGTTCGAAGGGCAAGTTACCAAACACATAGAGTTCACAGTATGCAGCTTCACAGAATCATGACGATTCATACGAACGCTATTCACTTGGACAAAACCATCAACCAACAGGAACACGGCTGGTTGACACAGGTCGTCGGTCTCTTAACCAATTTTATGTTTATTAGTTCGCCTGCTCCTGTGGAGCCGGTTACAGTGGTGGTACCAATCCGCGGTTGACTAAAAGGCCTGTTTGATTAATTTCGGATCTAATCAAAACGGGATATACGATAGATTTTGAAAGGTCATCTAAGGTTATCTAAAATACCCTAATGACCCTACCCAACCGAGTGACAAAAATGAGACGCACAACAGAAACATTCACCATCCTGAGCTGCACAATCCCAACAGTTGTGTACATGCATTCAGATCACGTTCAGTTGAAACAGTGACAGGTTCGATACATTCTGTGATCATGAGGCCTCTTCTTGCTCTCATTGTATTGAACTGTAATGATTTGTATATTATATCAGATTTTCTCACACGTCTGAATCCAGACTATGCACCAAACAAATCACGGTACAATATTCTTTATGAAAAAAATAAAAACGTTCAACGATTTGTGCGGGCAACTCTACCTACATTTCAGTCAACGTGGCAATTGGATAAAAATGAAGAGTCATATACAGCAATGATAAAACTTAAACAAAAGATCATCTTTGTATATTTAAAATTAGTTCCTTTAGGAGCTCCTCTTTGTTAAAATACGAGCCTAATAGGGTACTGTTGAATTGCGATAAATGTTTATGCGAAAGGGTAAGCAGGAATGATTGGCTCGGGTTGTAGCGTGGAAACGGCAAGCAAACAGGTCGGGACTAAGCGGATGACTGAAGTCGTTAAACCCCTTATGAGCGAAATTCTCAAATGAAGTATTATCAAAATCAGAATTATGTGATTAGTGTTTAAGGGAATGTTTCAGTTTCAGTTTTCACAACCACTAACCATGCAATTTCGTCCACCGGTTTTGGTTGCTGTCTTTTGGCCGACCGTTTGGATAAGATTTGAATGTTGAGCGCAAATTCAAACGGAAGATAGAGAATTCTTATAGACTGAGGTTGCAAGACTGCCCTTGACCTTTTTTCAACCGCTACCTGCCTCGACAAACATTGATCGTCGTGGCAACCTATTTGGTGACATGCGTAACACATAACCCAACCACCGTAATCTATGGAGGTCGACTACTTGTTCTAGTGGACGACAACTATTACCTAAAACTCGACGCCTAACCTCAGCATTGCACGTCCGGTTACCCCACGGAATGAGAGAAACACGGTCGGTAATTACCAAACTGCGGCGAAGAGTAATGAAATCCTTTTTTAAGCAGTAGGCCAGCGAAAATAACTGGCGAATATTGTAAGATAAACAAAAGAACACAATTGCATGCTTCACTCTAAATTGTCTTATCTTGCGTATCTGGAAGCGATACAGTCTATCAACACAGGCCAGCACACGGGACGACCAACGTAGATTGCTCTCTATGGTGACTCCTATGTAGCTGGTGGTATGTGTTTTGGTAATGGGTAGGGAAGTAATGGCTGAGGGTTTCGCGGGACACTCAGAATGGGAAAAAACTAAAAACACATTCGGAATATTTAGAAGTATTCGAATGGAAACTAGGTTGAGTCGAGAATGATTGCACTTATAATGAACTGTCAGATTGGTTCGAAATGACTTGATCTAAAACCACATCATCAGCATAATCAAAAGCTTTGGCTGGCGGGATAGAGGGTAAGTTACTAATGAGCGTTGAAAATTAGTATGTAAAAAGTGCACCACCCTGAATGACTCGATAATTATTCACCAAAAAACTTGAAGTAGTGCCATTTGCTTTTGTTCTTTGAATCCTTCCAGCAAAATAGTCATTCAACCATGACAATAAAGTGGTGGCGTAACCGAATGACTGTAACTTTCGGAGAAGAGATCGTTTGGCGGAAGATCAAAGATCCATTATGGGAATACCTTACAAGCTCATGCTTTTCTCGTCCCATAAGTTCGTGTGGTGGTTAAAAAAGAGTGACACATACAATTCCTTGTGTAAAACGTCACGTGATACGTGCTTCTTCCACTGCTGCACGCAGCTTCACTGATGTTGGAATGTAAGGTGGGCTAATGTTTCATCGAGTCTCAGTGCTTGGAGCACAGACGACGTAGGATCGGAGAGAGCTCCAGACTGCAAATGACTGACGCCGGCATTCCAAGCGGCATTTTGAGACCACCAGTTTGAATGAATGTCCTCTAAGATGAACGTTGGGTGATAACTTCAGAAGCGGGCGATACGGATGGCTTCGGTTTTGCATTATTTGGTATATCATTATCAAATCCCCTCTGATAGTAGTGATTGGAATATAACCCCAATGACTTCAATCTCTCTGCGTATGAACACCGATTATACCCCCTGACCACTTTGGTGGTCATCTTTTTTGGACGTTCCAGCATTTTGCCATCACGCTGTAGCCATAGATTCCATGCCTGTATAGAATACTCCGTGAGTGGGCTAATGTATGCTGATAATAGACGGGGGAAAAGCGCTGACTCAAACCGGTCAAAGACCCGCTTAAGCAAACTGACAATCTTTACAGCTGCGTTGAACACCTTGATGCAGTTGAGTGAGCAACTTAAGTTTTCTTGAATGATGATGCCCAGTTCGTTCTCATTTGCGGCGGGTGGCAGTTGTTCATCTCCGAGGAAATACGAAAATCGCCCCGTGTCGTAGAGATAGAACCTCACATTTTGGCACATTGAATTCAATATCGCTTATAATGGACCATAGATGAGCTACTTTCAACGTTTCCTGAAGTGCCAGTGAGCCCGCTGGTCGCGTTAATGTGTTCCAAATTTTGGCGTCATCTGCAAAAAGCAATGATTTTGGCCCCAGTGTCTTCGGTAGGTCGTTTATAAATGTTAGGAAAAGTCGTGGGCCAAGCACAGATCCTTGTGGAACCCCACGGGTAACGTCCGTGGGACTGGAAAACGAATCAGAAACGCGAACCGACACGGTACGATGTCCGAGAAATGCTTCGATTTAACCAAGCACGAGACCCCGAATACCGTGTTTATAGAGTTTCCGCAGTAGAATGTCGTGGTTCACCCGATCGAACGCTTTTGAAAAGTCTACATAAATAACGTCTTCGTCATTAACTGCCTTTGTTCATTCTTCTCATGCGATCAGCAAAGTGGTAGTGCAGGATCGATTCTGTCGGAATCCATATTGATTTGATGACAAAACGTTGTGCTTCTCTAGGTGTTCCATCAGGGAACCTGCTACTATGGACCCCATGACTTTGGACAGTACTGGAAGGAGGGTTACAGGGCGGTAGTTAGCGGGGTCTCTACGGCAACCGCCTTTGTAAATGGGTGAAATTACTCCCTGCTTCCACGACGATTATAGTGTGATCGAACATACTCTGAAATAGGAAAGCTGGTGGCTCAGCTATTTGATTTGCCAAGTAATAAGGGTTTGGAGATGAATATTGTTTGCCCCTGGCGATGAATTCTTCATCAAAACCAATAGTTTTGCTTTCACTTTTTTGTTAGTGAATGATACGTTGGTTAGTGAAGGATGTGGAATTTGCTGCATCCAGCAAGGGAGGTACAGTCATTCGTTAGTTGGCGCAGCAAAACTTGGGCATACCGGTTCTTCAGCATTTCAGCGGCTTCCGTTGTATTGGCAGTGACTCTTCCAGAAGAACTAACCACCGGTATTCTATGTTTATTTTTTTGAGCTGAGTTAACATGTTTGTACAAAAGCTTGGGGTTTGAAATTAATCTTTTTGCTAGAGATTCTTGATGGTTTAGTTTATCTTCACGCACCAACTTGGTGCAGTGGTTTCGCAGCAGTCGGTAATTGGTCCAGGTGCATGCATTTGGAATTCCTTTGTACTTTCTCTAAGAGAGGTCCCTCAGAAATATCCATATCTTTGTACAGCTTCGAATCAGTGACTTCCGGCTGCTGGGTTTGGTAACAACTTTCGCCCGCGTCATTGACGTCAGTAGTTGTTGCAGACTGTCAGTAAATTCCTACCATACAACTAAAGGATTGTGCTCTTCCCTATGAGATATCCATTGAATGGAAGGAGCCAATCTCTGCAACTTTGTATAGTTTATGAATGTGCAAATGCTGTTTGGGTTAATTACTTTGACAGAAGCGTCACAAATGTATTCGAACAACAGTACAGCATGGGCACTTCGTCCCAGAGGGGTCGTTACGGCGACGGATTCTATCATCAACTCTTCGTTTGTCAACACTAAATCTAGTATGGATGGTGATTGCAAGTTTCCAAATCTGGTATGCTCGTTCATGTGGTTATACAGAGGTTGTGAGGCAATTAGCTTTATGAATTGTTGTTAGAATAATTGATGGGAGGTCATTGGTTTGCCGGGGTTGCGACAGTTGAAATCAACAATTAGCAGAACATGTGTAAATCTTTTTGCGAGTGTGTAACATAGTGTTCAAAAGAGTCATATTGGCTGATTCCGTGGCTGACCCACTGACCTGATATGAGACGAAAATTCAGCTCTGAAAATTTGCTGAGGAATCCTTGAGCAGTGGTGTAGCAACAGTCTAAATATTGCCGGTGTAGAAATCCGATTGGATTAGAAGTGGTATCATGGCCGACCCCTTCTCTGTCGGCTACCATTAGTTTTTTTGATAGAGAAGCTTTGGTACTTTGGACCACCGGTTGTGGGACGGAATTTGGTACTTGCATTGAGTGATCCAATGTATTAGCAGGGTTCTCGGGATGTGAATGTGTGTGGAGCCCGGGATTTATTAAGGGTCTCACACGTAGTTCCGGAGGCCCTCTGTTCTTTCGTTCACGCCATAACTGCAAGACGGTGTTGGCAATGTCTGCAATGGCAAGAATAACTTTCATTATCGTCGGACCGTTTCCATGGTAATTTGGTGAGCAGTGAAGACGACTGATTGAGGTTGTCAGAAGACCGGGATACCCAAGTAAATTTTGAATGAATCCCCATTCTCATCGGTCGTTCTGATGGCTTTTAGATTCATTTGGATCGTCCAATTGCGGGACACCATGCATGAGGACGACCCTCTTATCTTCCTCCCCTCGTGCTCTCATTGGATCGGACTGATGCTGCATTCGTTTCGTCCATGGCCTATCAGGAAAGACCGGTTCTGCAGGGACCATTTCTGAGAAGGTAACCAGAAAAAAGAACGTTCTCTAAATCCTTTTCATCTTTCAGGGTCACCTGGAGTAGTCTGGGTTCCCCGGCAAGTAAGACACAACGAACGGATTTTTAGAATCGCCTATTCGATAAAAGGAAGTCAATAAAAGAAAGGAAACTTAAAACTGATGGGCGATCGGGATCTATCCGCTGGGTACAACGGAAAAAAAATAGATGAGGATAAACAAGACGGATCGAATTGAGTCGGATAAGCTTTTCACTAACAAGTAAAAATATGAAACCCAAAAGGAACTAAAACCCTAATCTGTCTCACGCAGAGTGACCTAATAAAGTGAGCACAGACACCAACTGCAGGCTACAACAGACCTCCCTCACGATCCAAATGAAACATTCGTCCAACGGGGTGAGCAAAAATATTCAGATACGACTATTAGGCCGCGTTTGTGTGAACGCACGTAGAGCCTTCCTCCGGTCTTGCAGAAACAGAAAACAGTAAACGTTCCGAAACGAAACGCCAGGCAGCGTAAGCTGGACTGTCAGTCAGTCTTGCATGATATATGACGCAATCTGTAATCTCAAAAAGGAGTGAATCGATCTCGATCGAACCACGAGCTAGAGTAATCAATGGGATCAGCTTACTTGAATTCCATGGTGGAGAAGAATGTTTTACAAATTCTGTTCTCACGATGACCCCGTCGACCGACTACTTGAGCAATCGAAGTAGCCACGAGCGGATCGGTCAGAGTGAACTGTAATGAGCTATCCGCGAACCAGGACTGAACGTCACCGTTTTCGGACGTGCTAGAAAAGAGGTGTTGTGTGGTTAGGGTCACTGCCAGACAATATGGTGTACAATTAAAAACATTTATGCTTACATGGTCCATAAACAACATTTACCTGAAGCCGACCAGTCTTCGAGGTAACGACGGTGATACTGGTGGTTGTAGTGTGTTTAAACGCGTTTGTAATGCGAAGTTCCGATCAAACTGGGGTGTCGAGGTCGAAGAACAGAAAGTCGGGACAGTGGTGTTCGGGGCTAAGTTGATGCTACCCGTGCCGGAACCCAGTAGCCGTCTGTGTCCCGGTTGTTGAGCTTGACATAACGAAAGCAGTTCGTCTACCGTGGTCAAAAAGGTGGAACAGGCTGCATTCAACGTGCCTGTAATTTCATTAACCCGCTGTGTGAGAACAGAGAGGATATGTGAATTAGAATTAAATAACACTTCCAGAAAGCCGTTCAAAACTAGCGATTACAAGAAAATAAACCAACAGCGGTGGTAAAATCCTGGCCCAACACAAGTGAAAGAGAATCAGTACGCATGAATGGATTTCCAGAAGAGTTCTAGCCCCGTGAGTGGAATTCATTTTCACGTTAAGTTGTTAACAACAGATTAATTCGACACCGCTGAGATAATCAAATTCCAATTGTATGAAGGAGTGATTGCTTGATACGGATAACAGCAGAAGCATACGCGCCGATTTTAAACAGCGCTTAATTCAATATATCACCGAGGAAAAAGTTTAATACAAGGAGTATGATAAAGCATCAATTAGCCTGATGCATCGGTGGAAGGTACTTTACGTCTCGCCTCCAGTTGGGAATTGTGAGGAAAAAAACGCTTGAAGAATCATTTTAATAAGGAAATGGGTCAGTGATTTCCTCCTAGGCGGGAGGCGGTTTGAGGACAGGAATGGTCCCAACGAAACAATAATGAAAATGAACAGAGGGAGTAGTTTTTTTCTTTTTCTTTTCCATTTTACTTCATTTTATTGGATATACAAAGATACAATTTTCAGGAAGAGGAAAGCGATCAATCAAAGGGTTGCCATTCAACACAATGGGGGAAAGTCAGGCGGTGGTGGTGGGATTCGAACACATCCCGGGGTGATAATTTGATGACATCACCACCGGGCCATCACCGCTTTAGACCACTGCCTTGGGGATTGGGGGCACAAGACAGATTACGCTGAACGCGGATTCTGGTTAAACTTGATGGTCTGTATCCACTAGCGCTTCCTATGTTCCATGTGCTTCTTTGTCTTAACCATCGCGGGTAGTGTTCTTTCATCTGCTGGGATAGTTGCTTCGCCTCATATATGGCATTACAAACGCACCGGAAGCAATAGATAACCATAGAAGTGGCCAGTGTAGTGCCCACATCATAGAGCGTCCATCCCCTTTTCCCATCCCAAACTCCCTTTCGAACCAACATGAAATTGTGCCCCCACTAAGAGCAAACCCTTGAATAATCTGTACAGGCACGATTAAGCACTGAAAAGCAATTGTTCGCCTTCGGACTTGTGTTCAAAGGTTAAAATTTCCCCTCAACCAAAACAAACAAGACTATTCTTCGATTGCATAAGAAAGTAAAATGACAAACGTATTTTTATGCTTCATTGTCAAAAGAAAATACAGCAAGGTTATATAAGCCAAAGTGAAAATGCAGAGTATAACGTGTGATGATGGCGCTCAGACAAACGCGAGCTTTTCCATACCCCAAGGTGAGTCATGAGCATTGGCATTTATGTACAGCACGATTAAGCTGAATATATTCCACTTGATCGTGCTGTACATAAATGCCAGAGGTGCTGACAGTGGCAAATCAACCGGATAGGCTGAAGTACGACGGAGGATTTGTATGTTGTAGTGCTTGCAGCGGGATCACACGCCTCAAGATGACACTGCATTATTGTTGTCGTGGAAAAATTGCAGGGAATCGGGTAAATGTTTTGTCCCGAACAGCTTAGCCAGACTGGAGATGTTGAGAATCAGTTGAACCAAAAAGATAAGGGGGTGATAAGCAGTTGCGCTAAGCTGGAGTAAACTTAAAAATGGATTGCAGTCTAAAGGCCCTCACAAACAGACCGGAAAATGCACACCCGTACAAATTGGCTATAT